GGTGCTTCAAAGTTACTTAAAGTGGTCAAGTCCAGACAGGACTGTAAGAAGTTTACAACAGAAACCTCAGCAATCACCAAAATGGCAAATGAAACTCCATGCTGGAACTTACAAAATAACCCAGGTTGGACAGAAGAAAAAGGAAGACTTTCATCATCCTAAATTAAATGTGTGAAGCTGGGAAGAGTCTGGTATCACTGCAGAAAACTCATTAAAGACCTCAGCTCAATGCTGAGCTGTGGTAAAAAAAGCAGACGTGATGTATGGAAGGATAAGAAATAGGATGGTGAATAATACAGAAAGTATTGTAGTGCCATGATATAAATCAGTGGTGGAGTCTCAAGTGGACTGCTGTGCATGTTTTGGATTTCCCAGTCTTTAAAAGGACATTACTGAACTGGTAGAAATCAGAGAAGAGAAACTCGGTGTAGTGAGAGGTGTCCTTGCCTAGAGCAGGGGGTTAAAATGAGATGATCACAAAGGTCCCTTCCAGCCTAAACCATTCTATATTGTATGAAAAGTCAAATGGCTGGAAACCTCATCTGCAGTAATCAGAAAAGATGAAAAAAAATTACTCAGCTTCTGAAAGAAACAGACTGTCAATAGCAAGTTTTCTCCTCGATGAATTATGGAGAAAGCAAATACAAGTTTTCCTTCTCCTTGCCTCCTCTCAGACACAAGAACAAGTTCATTAACTGACATGAAAATATTACAGATTTTAAAATGATAGGAAATACTCACATCTAATACACTGTATATAGAGGTAATTGAAGCCATTGAAGCCATTGAAGCCATTGAAGCCAAGTACATCTGTGCATTCATTTTCACCTTAGATACAATCACAAAATTACAAGATGGTTGAGGCTGGAAGGGAACTCTGGACATGATCAAGTGCAACTCTCCTACTCAATCGGGGTCTCCAAGAATGTACTACTTGGCATTGTGTCCAGACATCTTTTGAACACCTTCAGGTAAGGAAAAACCACAACATCATTGGACAATTTATTCCTGTGCTCTGATATCCTCAAAGAAGAGAAACTTTTCCTCATGCTCAGTCAGAACTTTCTGTGTTCCAGTTTGTGCCCATTGCCTTTCATTCTTTTGCTGGGTGTTACTGAGAAGAGCATAGCTCCACCCTCTTGGCACCTTCCCTTTAGATACTTACGTACTTTGATCAGAACCATCTGAGCTTGTCTTCTCTGGGACGAACAGACCCAGCTGTCTCAGCCTTCCCTCACAGCAGAGGTGCTTTTCATCATTTTAGTGGCCCTTTACTGGACTTGACCAAGGAGCTCCATATCTCCCTTATACTGGGGAGACCAGAACTCTGCACAGTACTTCAGGTGTGGCCTCACTGGAACAGAGTAGAGCAGGAGGATCCCTTCTCTTGACCTCCTGGCCACTCTCCTTTTTGTGCACCCTAGGATAACATTGACCTTCTCGGCCAGCAGGGCACACTGCTTGCCCATGGCCAGCCTGATGTCCACCAGGACATCCAGGTTCTTCTTCGCTGAACTCCTTTCCAGAAGGTCAGACCCTAACTTGTACTGGTGCACCTGGGTTATTTCTCCCTGGATGAAGGACTCCGCACTTGATTTTGTTTAATTTCAGGAGGTTCCTCTCTGCCCCTCTCCCCAGCCTGTCCAGGACTTGCTGAATGGCAGCATGGCAATCTTGTGTGTCAGTCACTCCTCCCAGTTTTGAATCATAAGAAAAACTGTTGTGAGTGCACTCTACTTCTTCATGCAAATCACTGATGAATAGGTTAAATAACAGTGGACTCAGTATTGTCTCCTGGGGAACACTGCTAGATAGAGACCTCCAAATATGAAGTAATTAAAAGAAAGATAAATAAAAACAACTGAATGTTAAGAAAACTTGGAAGAAACAGTAAACCAAGTAGATGAAAGGTGTAAGCCTAAGAGGCAGACTACCTTCTACTTTACAAGCAAGTTCTTGTATTTCCTTAGCTACCTGGCAATGGCCAGAGTTGACAGCAGTTTGCTGAACCATATCAACCACAAAATTAGTGTTACTCTGGCCCTTTCCCTGTGTCTGTGAGAGAAACAAAGGAGTGCTGTGTAATGTATAAATGCAAGACATCTAGGGATCCCAGAAAAGGAAAGAGACGAAAAATCATCATCATATAATCATCACAGAATGCCTTGGGCTGGAAGAGACCTTAAAGACAACTGAGCTTCAACCTCACCTGCCATGGGTTGATTGCCACCCACAAGATCAGGCTGTCTGAGGCCGCATCTAACCTGGCCTTGAATGTCTCCACTAAAAGAGACCCACGACTTCTCCGGACAGCCTGTGTCAGTTCCTCACTGTTCACTCACTGAAAAATTTTTCCTCTAGCTTCTAATCTAAGCCTTCCCTCTTTTAGTTTAAACCTGTTTCCCCTTGTACTATCACTATCAGACTGAGTAGAAAGTCTGTTTCCCTCTTGCTTATAAGCTCCCTTTAACTGCAGGAAGACCACAGTGGGGCCTCCCCTGAGCTTTCTCATCTTCAGACTGATCAAGCCCAGCTCCCCCAGCTTTTGTTCATAGGAGAGCTGCTTCATGCCTCTGACCATTTTTGTGGCCTCCTCTGGGCCCACTCCAACAGCTCCACTTCTTTTCAGTGTTGCAAGCCCCAGACCTGGACTCAGTACTCCAAATAGGGCCTTTCAAGGGCAAAGCAGAGAGGGAAAATCAGTAGTTCTGCATTACAGCAAAGTGCTGGCATAGGTCTCAGGAAAGACATTTCTGCAAGTTTTAAAACTGACTTAACAGTGTTATACAGACAGGAAATCAGGAATTTGGTTTAGAAAAGTACTCTAACTCCAAGAAGGCATTCAGAAAAGTAACATATTGCATTGTGTACACCTAAAGTATTAAAGAGTTCGATGCAAAATTCACCTTGTGGCTTTTATTCTCTAAATTTTGGAATGAAACAGATACAACTCTCACCTTCCATAATGAGCAATCTGAGATGTAAATTCAAGGAGAAATCTTCAAGGATATAAACAGGAGTCCCACTTTTAGATCCCACAGATTTTCAATGTACATTGTGAATTGAGTATGCAGCCCTGCAGTAATTCTCTGAACAGTGCTAGGTTTCTTTTGCTTTAAATAAATGTGTTGCTTTGGGGTTTTATTGGTTTTTTGTTTGTTTGTTTGTTTCTTATATAGGCATACTAAATGTGGCTTTTGGTGGTAACCAAACTACTTAACTTTTGGTGGTATTTTTTCCTTTACATCAGAGGGAACATCAAACAAAATACAATTAGCTATCATTATTTTTTTATCACCGTGGTTACGAGAGTCCCAAATGGATATATACTCTTATCTCATCCAGAAAGCCTTTTTTTGTTCCAATGCACTTGGCAGTTCACACATAATGAAATGCGTGTGACATTCAGGTAACGTCAGAGACAGCACATGGCAACAACATAAAAGCCATATTTGGACAGGAAGGCAGACTGCCGCCTTCTACTGCACAAAGACTTAATAATGACAACATCATTCTGCAGGATTTGCATGACTAAAATTAGGCAAAAACATATTCTCCATGAAAGAAAGGCAAGGCAGTGTACAAACAGTAGCCAGAGGCAGCTTCAGACGTGTCAGTTCAGCTGTGCAAAGAATGTGCCAGTCCCACTGCTGGAATAATTTCCACACTTAACATACAGAACGAGTCATTAAAAATGAGGGGGAGTAACATGAAAGGGTGAGGCATATGGCACACAGTGTGCTACCACAGCATACCATATATTCCAGATAAAAGCATGCATTAGAAAATTCATTTACACTTTCAGTGCTGACAAGGACAGCTACTGCCAATTAACCTCCTTCTCCACTCCAACCTCAGTTTCTGTTTCAGGGTAAATTCCTGGCCCTAGTGAGTCAATGGGAAATTTGCCATAGAAGTTAGTAGGAACAATATTTAACTGCTGTGGCTTCTGCAAGTGTTTTTATTCCTCTAATTTGCATATATATACTTATGATATACTTTACTGCAAACTACTTGCTTCACCCCCCCACACTACTGTCCTCAATTTTTTTTATTAGCTTGGAACAGTAATGTCTGGAAAGTATTCCACCATCTGGTATATTACTATTAGATTCAGGAAAACTGGGCAGGTATCTACGGGGTAGAGCTCCTGCCTGAGAGAACATCTCATCTCTAATTCCAGCCCTTCTTTGAGCTTTGTCTGAGCAGACACCCCACACAATGAACAAAACAGGGCATGAACCAACGCAGCTACCGGAGGTCTGCGTGGCACAAGACACCGCAGCTGAAAGATCTGCTGGGTGCCATGACAAGAGTTTTCTCATTTTTCCGGGCCTAATCCTGCTGCGCAGCATCAGTGGAAACTTTACCATCCACTTCTGCTGTAAGAAAATTTGACCCTGGATTGCAATTTAAATCCCAAATCTTTTCTCTAAAAAAAAAAAAAAAAACAAGTATTTTTAATTCATAGATCACAGCCCCGGTAGTATTTTAAGTATATAGGATCAGTTCCAAAACTATTAGGAAATGGTACTCTTCTGTTCCAGGGAGACTGTTCACTCTTCAATACAAGCATTATATGGATTCTTGTTAGTAACTGATTAATACTGATATACATTCCATTTAAAAGTACACCAATACAACACATTTCTCCAATCCGCTGCCCTAAAGACTGTGTTTGCCCTGCAGAAACCAGTTTCAGGTTTGAGGCAGTTTGGGTATATATATATATATGTATTTATGCCTGTGAATAATGTGGAGAAATACGAGTAAACTCTGAAGAAATTGCTGGTATGGAATTCTTGTCACAAACAGGTGAGCACAACAGAAGGTTACATAGAAAATACAATGAGTAATATATCTCTCAGTGTGGATAATTTAATTTAGGTCAGAAATAAAGGGTAAAATATTCCCTTTGAACAAATTCCACGATTATTTCAAAATATCATCTGTACAACACTTTCTCACACTGCATAGTCCAATGGCACTATCTACACATTTGGGTACAATTTGCATGAAGAATGGTATGACTCAGTTTGTCTGCACTTTTTTATTTATTTTCTACTTAATTTAATCATAAAACTTAATCACAGAGATACAATTGTGTGAGCTTTAATTTCTTCAACAGAAAATAGAAGTGCCTATTTTATTGCAGCTACTTTGAACAGACCACAAGAAATCCACACAAATACAAGATGACTTTCAGTGACTCTACACACGCTCATACTTGTAAAAAGTATTTTTTATTAATTTCCTGTGTGCAATTCTGCTATTTAGAGAACATTAAGAGCTATTATTCCAAACCAATCTGCATTTGGGGTGAAATTCTGTGGTTCTTTAGCAGTCCACATGTGCTAGACACACTCTTTAAGCAGGAGTGGATTTTCTTCTTACATCATAACATACATTACGGTTGTAGGGCAACCAGAGAGAAGATTCAAGGTCATTGTGTAGAACTGCAGAAATTGTGCTATGAATGCTTCAGTGTATAAATGAAAGTGGGACAAAGGAGGAATGGAAGAGAAAACCAGGCAAATTTTGTAGAATCATAAGATAGTCATGCAGAATCACAAAACCACCAGAATCATAGGGGTTGGAAGGAATCGTTGACTTCAATCCCTCTGCTAAAGCAGATTCTCTAGAGCAAAACAGTGCTCTTCTAGCAGTATCACTCACCTCCAACATGGCATTTAAAAATGAACAGAAGAAAGAATTTAGCTTTTCGAGGTATAAGCATCTTGCAAATTACTTTCTTCTTGGTGCCTGCTGATAATGTGACCAGCCATGAAAAGCATTTATTCAGTGCAAAAGATTTATGATCAATACTTTAATTATAAATCAGTTCAAGGGCAATCAAATATATTAACCATGTAATTTAAGGTAGAAGTTTCTAAAACCAAACCAAAATAAAAACTTCTCTGCAGCACCCTCTATATTTATTATGTGCCAGAATGGTTTATAAACAAGAAAATTATATATTAATAATGCTGCAATACAGCTTTAAGAGGATTAAATATATTTCTAGAATGAGGTCTAGACCCAGACTAAACTGTTATCTTTATGTTCCACTTTCGATTTTGTGCTAGTAAAAAGCATTCAGAAGAAGAATTTCAAGCTGCTGGTTTTTGCATTTGGAGGTTTTTTTTGGGGGGGCGGGGTTAGTTTTGGTTTTGTTAGTTATTTTGGGAATTTTTTTGTACAAGACAATTCCATTCCAAGAGGATGCTGACATTCAGATTTTCATCCCTCTGCAGATAACTCTCGTAGTTGCTATCGACTTCAATAAAACTAGGCTTCCAAATGTAATTTTTTAATGGTATTTTACAAAATCACTGAACTGTAGGAAGAGACCACTGGTGATCACAAAGACCAATGCCCCTAGATCATCAAGACCAATGCTAGAGCAGGTTCCCTACAGTAAGTTACGCAGGAAAGTGTCTAGATGGGCTTTGAATATCCCTAGAAAGGAGACTTTACAGCCTCTCTGGGCAGCCTGTTCCACTGCACTGTCACTCTCAAAGTAAAAAAGTTCTTCCTCATGTTCAGATGGCACTTACTGTGCTCCAGTTAATGCTCATTGCTTCTTGTCCTGTTGCTGGGCACAACTGAACAGGAGTCTGGTCCCATCATTTGACAACCACCTTTTACATATTTATTAGCATTTATAAGATCCTCTCTCAGTCTTCTCTTCAACAGGCTGAACAGCTGCAGGTCTCACAGCCTTTCCTAAAATTGGATACAGAAAGATTATATAAATAATGGCTGTTAAAACATTACAGACAAACAAGAAGATGGTATTAGAAACCTAGACTTTAAAATGTAGCTGTAGCTTCATAGATGCAATGAAACCAGAAAAATTCTGGAAAAATTATGGTAACTATAGCTGTTTCTTTACCTTCTCACTGAGAGAAAAATAACATTAGAATGACAGTCTTACATTTCAATGATCACACATTCCAATATCAAACTGGTATTGTGCTGTAAGATTCAATAGTCTAACTCTTTTAGAAGGCATAAAATAAATGAGATAGATATTTCTTTGATAGTAGAAAATTCTAAAAGACCATTCTTCTATTCTTTCTTCCACTTAACAGTCTTGTATACATTTTAGCTCCAATTGAATCTATACCACCTTGCATGCATGAAGCAATTTAGGCTAAATAGCAGTGTCAAAATGTCTGAAAGAAATTATACCTGCTGACAGTGAACAAGATGATCAAGAGTTCAGGTCTGGTAGATGAGTCACTTTTTGCATGACCAGCACAACTTTATATCATACAAGAAAGATTTGAATCAGTAGCATCACATGTGGCACAGGCATTTGGAATGTCTTCTGATATGGAGATAATGTGTTGGTGAGATGCATTTAATAGCAGATGACATCAGAAACAAAAACTAAGAACAAATAGTCCCTTTGTACCTTGGCATAGTCTTCACCATACTGCAACATTAAAAATTATTTAATCTCACAGATTCCATTATTTCATTTCATTGCTCACTGCTAACTCTTTGGTTTTAAATATGATGAAAATTGGAAGATCTGTAGTAGCTGTCTTCGGGTGAAAATGTGCTTCTCTAAGCCCATATTTTCCTTTGTTTCTCCAGAATGTGCAGTTTAAATTGAGAGCCAAAGCACACACAGAAACCTCAATGGTTAAAGAAAAGCATTGGCCAGAAGACATGTGCACATGAAAAAAATTTCTCATTCTGTTCTCTTTTTGTTCCTTGGAACAAGCTTGTAAATCAGAGTTGAAACTCAATCCCTGTCATTAATTCATGAATAACATACGTACGGTGCTTAAAGCATAAAAAACACCAAGGCATCTTGTAATACAGTACTATTTAGTCCTGTTTTAGTCATATGACAAGGCACTATCATCTTCCAAAAATGATAAAAAGAAGATATTTTATACTGAAAAAAACAATGTTTTCAACCTTGTCTCAAGAAAACATATTGCAGAAAACAAGCACACAACATTTCCTTCTATTTTCTTTCTACATCTTGAAGATCTGTAAAAGTTTCTAGAGAAAAATAAAATGAAAAAGATGTCATCTAGAAAATTAGACCGAGTTCAACATGGAAAAAGCAATAAGAACAAAAGAGACTAAAGGAAAATAAGCAAAGCTATAAATACTGGACAGCTACATAGTTGGGACACACAGAAAAGACTGAACTAACTTTGTATAGTGTTTCCCACATTGAATCCAAAGACAATAATACTGAAAGCACTGGTTTCAATATAGGAGAAGCATGCTGTAGGCCTATTATGAAGTTTGACATAAATTTTCTGACTCTTCATTTCACGATGGTGTGATTCACATGGGTAGCAGTTGCAGAATCAAACCCATTCTCAGGTTTCTTTGAAACAAAAACAAAATTTTAATTTGGCTTGCACATGAGTTCTTAAAAAATGAAACAAATTGCATAAGATAAACACCTAAGTGATTTAAATATCTCCACAAGTTGACTGCATTGAATTCCTTTTTGTTCTTGTAGCTAAGAAAATGCAGTAGTGTTAGTTTATGGAACAAAGTTGCGGGCAACCAGTTAAATTCATAAGCAGATGGGGTAGTAAAAGCAGATTCTTATTTCTTATTAAAACAGACAATCTGGGGGCAGGATTCATCATTTTGTTTTAAGAATCAAGTGTATTCTCAGTAAGTTATCAAGACTTTCCTTCAGGTAAGTGGAGACAAACAAGCATTCCCTGTAGACAATTCCACATTAGCCCAGGTCAAGCCTCTGGCACTTCAAGTACACTTAAGCTCAGGCTGCTGCAGAGGATAATTGTGACCTACCGTATACACACCCCTGTTGGACCTTGTATGTTCACATTCTATGGGATCAGGGAACAGATTCAGCTGAAAATGAACCAAAAGTGCTCTACACAACTCTCTTTCAGAAACAGAAAACCCAGTATGAGTCAAAAAACACATATAAAATAAGCCTATTTGAGTAACTAAGTATGGCCATATAAGGCCATATAGGCCTTATGAAAGCTGAGGATGCTGAGGCATGTAAAACACAACTACGAGGCCTTCAAGCACACTGAAGGACTGTGACCACAGCCTGTGACACAGGCATCAAGTCAGATGTTGGTATAAGACTCCTGGAACCCTTTACAGACAGGTTGCAGCCCTGACTTCTGTCTTCCCTATCCGTCCTCCACCCCATGATATCTCCACCTGTCACTAGACTTACATAGTGTTGGTACTGCATATTAAAATGTATATCTGAAACCTAAATTTCAGTATTGCTTTTAATATATATTTGTGCTCTTTCTTAATTGCATCAGTTCCAATTTACACATTCATATGTACACACATACAACAGCCCCTGAAGTCTAGCGTGTCTACATGGTAACACCCATCTGTAAGCCTCAGATCTCCCTCTTCCTCTTTCTGTCTCTCCAGCTGACACACATATAAAATGTTGTGCAATTAATCTTACAATCCCATTTTAGTCAGATTGTTTGTTTTCCCTTCTGTTCCAAGTTGTTGTCCATTGCCGTGACTACAGACAAGTAGGCATGTTTGATCAGCTAACTATGCTGGATTACGGAAGAAATACTTTATCCAAGAAATAAGACTACTAAGTGTTAAAAAATGTGTATCCTTCCAGTCTTCTGAAGTATCTATCTCTCAATGTTAATGTCAGAAATCAACTCATGGCACACAAAAACTCTTAGCTATCCATCTTCTCCCTCTTTCAAATCTCATTCAGGAAGGTTTAGCTTTATAAAAAGCAGTATAGTTTTTCAAACAAAAGCTACTGTAAGCAATATATACACAGAAAATGTTTGTATTACCACATATTTTGGCAACAGAAGTCAATCCACATTTGCAAACTTAGAAGTGGAATATTTCATTATTGTGTCATTTTTTTCCTGTTTTTGCAGTGTGCAGTAGAAGGAAGATTCAGATCAGAGACACTATGTAAACACAGAAGGAGCCAGTGTTCACAGAAGTCTCTGAGATATTAAGATATGTTGACACACACTCGAAGTGAGAATGAAAGGGGAAGAGAGAGGACATTTCTCAGAAGCAAAAGGACAGAGGAAGAGGAGGACTTTACAATTAATAGGCAAATGGTGACATGGATATTCCTATGACTCAAGAGAAGAACAAGGAAATGCCGGACTTGAAGAATTCTTGGAAAGCAAAACTGAGGCTACCTAGCAGAGAAATGGTTTTAAATACATCTTTCATTATGTTACTAATAGGTAAAACTGAAAAGAAGCAATTAATTTCCTCTGAAGTGCTTCTTCAGTCTGTTTTCCTCAGATGAAGGACATAGAAACTATACTCTAAGCAGTATGCCTCCAGAACATATAATTCAACAGGTGAAGATCTGTGAAGATCTGCACAGAGTCATCATTTGGTTAAAAATCACCATACCAAATGTTTTTCAACCTAATCTCTATGAAAGCAAAGGTCTGCCTTTCAGCAATCCAAAGCAGAAAGGCTTAAATTATCAACATAATTCAACTACACAACAGTTTCTGAAATGCAGACATAAGGGCGTCAATTAAAACCTTTATTACACTTTTTTTAAAATGGTTGTTATTTTTGCCAAAATAAAATATCTGGCTATCATGGGAAGGACTCAGGAACAAGCTGAATATCAAATACCAAGAGGTAATACAAAGAGCAAGTTGATAACAAAGAGCAAGGGTAAGAGAATATATTTCTGCTCAGTAACGCTAACATAATCTACTCAACATGCAAAAAAATTACACACCTTAGTGAGCCATCCTAACCTGAGTGCATAAGCTTCTTAAGTAATTTAGTGAGCCTATTATGTCTACTGGAAATAGACCTGCTCAATTGTTCATTTCCCTAAACTGTTCATTTGCTGACAGTCTAAATCTCTTGTGCAATATTTGAGCCTTCCAGTTACTGTAACAGCAATTTTAACTTTCAGAAGGCTTCCCTTTCCTCTTAAAGACTGAAATTTGTTTTGCAATTCAGCTCATTTTATTTATAAATATTTAATTTTCATTTGCCTCCTTAAAATTTGTTCTGAGTGGATAGTAACATAAATTTATTATGAAGTGTATTTATCTTTCCCTACCTCATTAATGCTCAAGAGTTCTGCTGCCTCTATTAAGCATACTGCTAAACAAACTTCTGGAAGCTGAATCCATGTGAATGGAGAAATGAAGCGTAAATTCAGGGTGCAGTTCTTTTGTTCCCCTCTCCAATTTCTATCAAAGTCACATGCTCTGACAGATTTCAGAAAAGACATTAAAAATGTTGATGTGAAAGCAGGAGATGTGATCTGGAGTAATTTCAACCTTCAACAAATTACACCAACATTATCTCCTGGAATAATCTGAAGTGGCAATTCATAAATCACAGAATCCATACAGTGGGTTTGGTTGGAAAGGACTGCAAAGTTCCAACCCTCTGCCATGCGCAGAATTGCCAACCCCTAGATCAAGCACCAGATCAGGTTGCCCAGGGCCCCACTCAGACTGGCCTCTGACACTATAAGCACTGAACCAACATAAGAAAGAGAATGAAAAACTTCTTTAAAATGAAACAAGAATATCTGTACTGGGGTTTGTAGTTGTTACCAATGTTATTTGAAATATGTTACCAATGTTATTGTTTTTCTCCAATGTTACTTTTCATTAGCTTTGGTCACTGTTCCTGTCTCTCTGAGATACAACTAAAATAAGTTCAAATCAAATCTGAGGCTGCTTGAGAGAGAATGAACTGAAGTGAAGCAGAAGAATGAATGCAAATAGTTTAAAGATTAAAAAAGAAAAAAAAAAAATCAAATGCAGTTTGTCGGTGAGGATTAACTGACAAAGAAATAATTGGATGTTTAGCCTATTCATGTGCGTCATCATGACAATGGTTAGTGACATTTTCAGTGTACCTTCAATTAAACCAATCACATACAGTAAATATTCTGAGCATAAATATACTGAAAATACTGGCCAAACAGAGCACAGCACTATTTTTTTACTTACGTGCATCGCTACAGTTTTATACAAACAGTCACAATTCATTGAATTTTATTTTTTATTTTAAAATATTTATGTTTTAAAATGGCTGGTTACCTTGGCTGGTTATCAAACACTCTCTGATCTCTCCAGTTAGGGTGAAATCCGACAGAAGTTAGTAACTGGCCAGTTCCAGACATATCTGGATACATTTTCCCCCTAAGACCACCTTCACAGCTACTTTTTGTTTTATCAGAAATTCACAAAATGAATCAAATTTTCCCATAATAAATGAATAATTTGACAACTGGAGAGTAAAAGGCTTAGAAGATATTAAGTCAGCTCTGAATTACAAAATCAGAAACCACTGCAGTGCTAAACACCCTAAGTACAGCTTCTGCGTACATCTGTCTGAATGAAAGCTATACTGCTGCTGGATTAATGCAGTACAAAGGGAAAAAAATAAAAGAATACAGCAAACATTTAACAGAAGTATTGAAAGCATAAGTGCTTCTGCCTCCGTGCCTGTGCAGACCAAAGGGGTAGACAACGTGTGTTAGGGCTGAATGAAAGTGTATTATGCTCTTGAATCAGTGGGAAAGCATATAGCCAAAAATACTTGTACTGGCACTCTTGAAATGTCATGATGATCCATTTTCTTTGAAACTGACTAACATTAATGTATTTGCATCCTTGAGATAAAACAATCAGTGAGCTTTTAAAAAGTTCATCTTGTTCCACTAAAACAGATACTGCAGTTCTCTATATAAGTAAAATATCCATCCATTTGTCAAACAGCGATGTTTCAGACATCTGAGTATGTTATTGCAACTGAACTTAGGGTGGATTTTGAAGTTTATAAATGATGAGGTAGTGTTTGAACTCATTCTCTTCTTACTCCCAGACAAAACACAATGCTCAGAAATGCTGTGAAGGTTCTACAACAGTTGCACTTTTTCAGAATACCAAAATACCATTCACTACAGATACTTCTGGCATTTAAGTTCCCCGAATAGGAGCTACTCTAAAATTTGATGCCTATTCATCAACTTTGATACTAGATAATTCTACGTACTAGACATATAAAGAAGTCTCATACGTTATTTCAGAAATTTCTGAGTTTTCATGGGATTCTCTTAGCTACTGAATCAGTCTTACCAAACACAATATTTAGTTAGTAAAGCTTGGTGACACTGAAAGCAGTCTACCATAACTGGTTCGGTATTCTTGACTATTTCTGGATTTGGATAAAATATGTGGTTCACGAAGAAGTGTTAATGTTAACATCCACATCAGATCACTTATAGAAGTGTAACTGATTTGGTTCATTCCTACCACTTAAATCTTGGTACATTCACAAATATTGATAAAGCATTAATTACTCAAAAGGTGACTATAAATGACTTTCCAGTAAAATGATCAACAACAAAAAAATAAAAAAATAAAAATCTAGATAAAATAGATTGATTTGTTCCTGTAGGAAACAAAGAGGGAGCAGAAAGATCACTGATATAATCACTGTTATATATTAAGTCAGTTAACTTCCTATCAGAAAACACTCCAATAAGGAAGTGATGACAGCTAAAAACAACCTACTGAAGAGAATGCTAACATCATCAGTTTAGAACAGATACAGGAAATAGTATATTTGAAGGAGCAATTTTAGACATGAAGTCTGGGAGGAAAAGAAGGAACTAGCAGATTCTTGCAAGAGTGAGTGGCAACACACAGAAATGGGAAGCTGTGACAATAGAAAACACAAAGAGGAGGGTTCAAAATGTTTGTACAACATGGAAAGCAACAAAGCAATAATAGCTGCACAGGAAATTGCATGGGACTTTAAAAATGCCTTACATTTTCAGTATGGGCACACATGGTTAGAGCTATATGAGCACATAATGGGAATTTAGATGCTTGATTTGGTGCTTATGTTCCAAAATCAGATGCTTAAAATTATTACTGCTAATTAATCCTGAATATCTATCAACACACTCAGCTTCTATTGCTCAAGATAGCTAATCAAGATAGCCATCTCCAGTACCATCTTAACCTTAATGATTTTCATTTCTGTTCATACCTATGGACAGTTCCACATTCCTCTGCTTCCCTCTGCTGTGATACTCTAATCGAGGACAATCTTAGAAAACCAGGCTGAACACAAACTGCAAGACTAATGATGAGCATTCCCTGGAGCTAGGGCTTACAAACTATGACTATACTCCCAGATGTGTGAGCTAATCTGTAAACTGATCTTCTCTTGCTCTTCAAATTAATAGTTAATTATTCGATGTAAAGCAAAACATCTTCAAAAGGAGACACGGCAACTGTTCCACCTCAGAGTATTTCATAGCCAGGATACTTTCCTGGAAGATGGGAGACACTGATTAGTGCTCCCTCAGGCAGAGGAAGAAACTGAGCATAAGTCTGCTGCCATTTAACTGCTGAGCTAGTGCATAGCATGTGCTGGGAGTGGCAGGCAAGGAACACAACACTAAGGGGTTTTGAACAAAAAAAAGACTGTACGGCTAATTTCAGGAAAGCTGAAGGATACTGCAGTATCTGAGTCTCAGACAACCACACAACTTAAGGCTCTCTCTAAGCTTAAGTCCTTTTCCAGGTATACCTCTAGCAGCTCTCCATTCAGCTTGCCGAGATTTGCCATGTAACTCTCCTTTTCATAGGAACTTCTACACGAGTAACCACTATGATATTGACTGATGCCTAACACCTAGGCACTGCAGAACTTTAAGCTGAAGCACTTGTGCTGTTCTTTAGTGAGTGTGGTGCCTGCTGAGTTAGGTGTCCTTGACAGAAGGAGGAAATACATTGGTGGCTGCACATATCTGGGTGCACACAGGGCAGTAGAGTTTAAAAGTGAGTCCTGACTGAGTGCACACTCTGTAACCAACAGAAAGTCACAAGGAAATAGTGTGGGAAAAAAAACCCAACCTTTTTGATACACAAATAGTTAAGTTCAGAGAAAAGAAAGTTCACTTGACAAAACAGTCCTGTTTGACCATAAGCCATGTTGTGTTTCTCTCTTCAGTCCCCAGCAGTCTTATCACCAAACCTGCAGAACTAGCTGTCTTCCTGAAAGCTACCATCTCACCCTACAGCCCTTCCTTCATCTCATTCATAAAAATAACAAGATTAACAATTAATCATTCAAATAAAGCACTCTGTGTCAATCTCTATTCCTGAACATATATTAAATTGTTATTTAAATTATTTTTAACTCGGACTGTAACTTCCCCTAATTAGGAATATCTCCATAGTGATACAGACTGGAACATTTCCAAGAAAATCTGATTTATATTAAACGAGTATCTTGCTCATCTAATTAATATTCATCAGAAAATTATGCAGGAATGCTTTCCACATGGCATACATGTCCAGGAACTGAGTGATACATCACACACATTCCTTTCAGATCTGAGATGACAGAAAGGGTGTCCTACAACACTGCTATACTTGCACCTGCTCAGGCAGGTGTTGGGCAAAACATTACTGCAATAAGCAGTATTACAGATATACATTCAGAAAGAAGTTACAAACAAGAGGGCATAAACCTCTGTTATTTCCATAGGCCACTATCATCCAACAAGAAACACTGCTTTTTATGTTGTTTTCCATTTTTTTTCTTGTCAGCATGCCTAACAGGGTCTTACACAGCACAGAATTGCTTGGTACAAAACTGAGATAGTATTGTTCTGAGAATTATCTTATCATTTCCAGGATTTGACATTAGTCATGAACCCGAAAGTCAGTTTATCTTAGAAAGGATGGGAAGCACAAGGAAATTTCACTTACCATATTTTAACAAGTATTCCTAACATATAATCCTTCACATGACATGATGGCCACTTCAGTCTGATTCCTTTCTTCCTCCTCAGATCAGACAGCAGCCACTCCACTTCCTAAGACCCATCCTCAAGTTCTCAGGTAATTCTTTCAGCTGAAACCAAATCAAATAAAGAAACCAACCAACCAACAGAACTACACCTGCAACACTGTAGAGACACTGTAGAGTGTGTAGATTTTTTTTCCTGCTACACAACTAGGAAAGAAGAACATTAAGTCCCTTGAAAATTTTCAGACCCAACAGTCTTTCTCAAATTAATATCAGGCTTTGAAGCACGGCACAAGAAATCACAAGCCTGTAGGATCACAGGTAAGTTACTCATACCGTGTGAGTTAGGTTTTCATCACAATACCAGAAGTGTTACAGCCACAGAAGCTGTGGCAACTGAATGTTTAGACAAGAATACTCACATTATATCCACTTCTCATCTGAAATGTGCACACATGTAAAACTCAGATCCAATTTAAAGATATACATACTGAAATAATATAGAAATGAACAGTGACAATGCCAAGGTACATAAACCAAGGTTTATCTTGTGAAAAGTTATATTCCCATTGACATGTGGAACTTCAGGCTGTTGCAATCAAAAGGCGTGTTTGCAAGTCTAACATTTATAATTACACAAACATTCCCCCACCCTGAATGTCAAACATACTGAATGCCTTTCCGACAGTGAGAGGCTTTCCAGCTGGTAAAGAAAACAGCACAAGGAATTCAGTTGTACATTAATTCAAACTATTATCTATCCACATCTCTAAATCGAGGCTATTTTCTTCGGGCTACTCTACTAAAGCCAAATGGGCAGATAGAACATTTAAATATTTATGAAGATTCATTAGAAAAAGCTGAAAAGTATTACTAGATTAATACATGCCTTTAATAAATGGTGAACTGTTTGCTGTAGAAGGCAGTGGCTCAAAGGTTACTTATGTCTATTTAAAATATATTAATTTCTAACCCATACATTCTCCGTCTGTGAAAAGCTTCCATTCTTAATTAGCCAGACATTAGCCCTTTGTGAACACTGTTTCACTGAACCAGTGAAACAGTACAAAGCTCAGACTAAATGCATTAAACGAACAATAAGCAGGCCTCTCTCCTCCTACTCTGGAAGGCAACGTGGTCACCTGAGATTGTAAACGACTGGCAAGTCACAATTCTGGCACTAACCCCTTTGTATGACTCTGGAAAAGATGCCTCTGATTCTAACACCTTCCTTTCTCTGTTTTGCGTTTAGACAACAGCAGTCTTGGAAAAGTTCTGAGACCTGGAATCACCAGCCCTCATAAAACAACGCTGGCTGTAAGGAACATATGCCTGCTGTAAGCAAAGATCAGATTTGAGACCATCTAAAGAATCTAAAGGTGTGCAAGTACATGGGACTCGATGAGATCTATCCCTAGGTTCTGAGAGAACTGGTGGATGAAACTGCCAAACTGCTATCCATTGTTCTCACTGACTGGAAAAGAGGAAAAATAACTCCCACTTTCAAGAAGGAAAAAAAAGAAGATGCAGAGAACTGCAGACTAGACTCACCTCTGTGCCTGCTAAGATCTTGGAGCAGATTCTCCTAATAAAGCACATCAAAAATAAAGACAAGGTGATTGGTGATAACCAACATGGCTTTACCAAGGGTAAATCATGCCTGCCAAACTTGGTGACCTTTACAACAGAATTATATCAGTGGATAAAGGAAGAGCAACTGACATCATCTATCTGAACTTGTGCAAAGCATTTGATATCCTGGTTGCCTAATTGGAGAAAAACTGGATTTGAAGGATGGACCACTTGATAGATAAGGAATTAGCTGTACGGTTGCACTAAGAGAGAGTTGCAGTCAACAGCTCAATGTCCAAATGTAGAACAGTGACAAATGGTGTTCCTCAGGGATCAGTCTTGGAACTAGTATTATTTAACATCTTGGTAGGTGACATGCACAGTGGGATTGGGTGCACATTCAGCAAGTTTGCAGATGACACCAAAGTGAGTGGTGCAGTTTATATAGAGGCTAGAGGGAAGAGCTGCTATCCAGAGGGATCTGGACAGGCTTGAGAGTTGGGTCCATGCCAACCTCATCAAGTTCAACAAGGCCAAGTGAGAGGTCCTGCACCTGAGTTGGGACAATTAAAGTGCAAGTTGGGCAGAGAATGGCTTGAGACCAGCCCTGAGAAGGATTTCAGGGTGTTGGTCAATGAAGGATTCAACACAAGCCAGCAATGTGTGCTTGCAGCCCAGAAAGAGAAGTATGTCCTGGGTTGCATCAAGAGAAGTGTGACCAGCAGGTCGAGAAAGGTGATGCTGCCTCTCTATTTTGCTCTCCTGAGACCTCACCTGGAGTACTGCATTCAGTTTTGGAATCTCCAGCACAAGGACATGGAGCTGTTGGAGCAGGTCCAGAGGAGGGCCACAAAACTGCAAGATGGGGAAAGAGTCTAGAACACAGAGGGTTACAGCTACATTTGACTTATTAAATTGCCTGCCTGAGACTGACAGCTACAGCAGCTTACAAACAGCACTGCTCTATGACAATTACTTTGTATTAAAACACCAGAGAAAATAGAACTCACAAAGTGTCCCTGGTAGTCACCACACACTATCAGTACAGCAGAGATCAGTGCAAGGTGGACACCACCAGAGTGCACAAACATATGTGCTTCTGAGCATCAGCTGCTGTAGCAGTGAGTCCAATGGCAGAAATAAGGGTGATGGATTTGACCACCAGTGGAAGAACTCCCAACTTCATAGCAGGCTTTAATATCTGTATGCTATGCCTTAATACTACCAGTAAGATACCCTTGCCTTAGATAAAAGGGGTAAGATCAGTTGCATCATTCCAGATCTCAGAGTTTTTAGGCAACTATAAACAAGCCAAATATTCAACAGGAACAAGTCCATGCATTCAGTGCAAAAGGCTTTTGTGTTGTATCTACTTCACCAGCTGCCAAACGAAAGTCAAGTAGCTCTTAAGCATTAGGCTGATAATGAAACTGCTCTCAGCAAAGGCAAACTGCAGTAATTCTTAAAGGACAAATGAAGTGCTTTATGGCAGAACAGAAATGGAACTGCTGTTGAGTTTGGCTGACTTTTTCAATTCCAAACTAAGAACAGACTGTAGCCTAGCAGTACGTTTCTGCGTTTGTTCATCTGATGAGGTCAGTCAGTTGAAATTAATTTTTATTACTCTATATCAAATAAGAGGAAATGAGAATCATTAAGTTACCTTTCCTAATCAATTCCTTCAACACACCTGGCTTCCCAGAGGATAAACTACCCTCTGCTGGAATAACAAAGAACTTACAGGCAAGAAAAAATTCCTTATTAACTTCACACAGAGATTCTTGAAAGCATTCAGTTGCAAACACAGCCTGTCTGTTGCTGCAGGCTTACTAAAGCCGGGTTTTGCTCCAATAATTTTGCAGCAAGTGTCATCTTAGATAACCCATGATTAGATAACCCATTTAATACATTAATCATTCCCACAAAACTTACTTTCCTTAAATGAGCATGGATTTTTTTCTAAGAAACAAGCTACTGATTTACATAGCATCCACTACGCTTGTTGGTTTGTGTTATTTTTCTTAGCCCTGGAATCTTTCAGAATTCAAAGCTCAATGTGATATAATTCACATCATGCAAGATTTGATTACATACAGGAGTTACATATTGAAGGAAAAGTTCCTGAATAATTGTAATGGCAAGTACTTAAGAAAAAAAAAAAAAAAATCTTTCCCAAAGAGTCCAGCCACAGTGCTCACTAGGAAAAAGCCATTGCATAGCACTATTGTGAATTTACTAGCTGCTCCAAAAGTATTGCCTTCCATTTTACTGTGTTCGCCCACGACATCAAAGGCAGATGGTGGTGATAAGGCAGTAGAGCTTGAACCTTTCCACCAATACCCTGATACATTTCGTTGCTCTGTGACAGATAGCAACAGAGGGGCACTCTGATGAAATGGCATCTGACATGAAAGAACAGATGAAGCAAAGGTGCGTCACAGAATTCCTCCACTTGGAAAAAATGGTACCCACTGACATTCTTCCTGACATGCTTCCTGAAAGTTGATGGAGACCAAACAGTGGATGCAAGCACAGTGAGGCAGTGGGTGTTGTGTTTTAGCAGTAGTAACACTGACATAAAAGACAAGCCATGTTCTGGATGGCTATGCAGATTTTAATGAGTGCAGAATGCAGGCAATTCATCGCTGCAGAGCTAATGGTAGAAATTATACTGAAAAATAGTGTTCTGTAGCTGAGAATTTGCTTTATCAAATAGTGTTATTGTGGTCTTTGTATCTGTTGTAGTTTCCATGGAAGTAAAGAAAAGGCATTAATTTCCAATCAACTACTTGTCTTGAAAGCTGGAAGTACTTTCAAGCCAGCCCCAAAAGGCAGGATGGTACAAGAAGAGACTTTATTAAATTTGCTGATCATGGCTACCACCAAGATTCAAATCACATGCCAGGCCAGCCTTCATGCTGCAGATTCTGCCTTCTTTCCAAAGATGGTCCAGAAGCATATATGTCACCTTGAGACTACTGACAATCTTCTTGAAGTGCTTAACCAGCACAGAAACAGAAACTTCAGTTTGTATATAGGTAACAGATTTTTGAAAAACATCAAAGTCAAGTAGGAAAACAAGGAATGGAATGGTACAGTCATTATGAACTAAGCCACATCCCCGGCTCTTAATCTCACTGCAAAAATCTCAGGTCTGCTGATTTCATCAAAGTTGTTATATGGTTTTTCACAGTTGGTACAAGTTTCAACTTTCAAACACAAACAAAAAATCTCAGTTCTTTCTTCAAAACTGCAGAAAACAGTTGTTAACAGGCTCTTGGGCATATGTAAAGGAAAGAAAAAAGATGGAAATGCCACTTTGTTGAAATTTCCAGCACACAAACATTATCATGGAATTACAATAAGGATCCTTGGAAAGAAACTTACCTCTTCAAATCTCTCACGGAAAAGAGGAAGAGCTAGTCATCAGTCGGACCTGTTAATTAAAGACTTGCTGTGCGCTGCTGGGTTCTGTCTGCTTCCACCATGGCCATCAACTGCCATATACAACAAAACGAACAGCCCCTACACCCCTGCTGAAAAAGAATAATAATAATTACTAATACATCTTCTAAAATTCCCCCCAAAACAATCCTGCATATGTCCTAAAAAGCCATTCCTTCGTTTCAACGAAGGTGCAACCGTCTGTGCCCCAAAGGCATTTGTAACATTTTCGTCTGAATAGGGTCTAACATATTCATTTATTTGTAACTCATCAGGCAAGATCCCAGCTAGCCACAATTACTTCACTGGACTTAAATAAAGAATAGATGTTAAAAGCAAAGTATTTGTGTGCTTTTATGAACTTCCCTTTCACGCTTTTGCCCCTGAAAGACAGGTAAACTTATCTTTAAAAAAAAAAAAAATCAGAAAAAAATAGTACATGGATATAAGCAATGAGGAAGAGTTTAATTTTACATATATAGTTTCAAAGAAATTAGTTGAAAACAACGAAACAAAAATTAAAAGCGTTTTTACTCATAAAGCAGACTTTGTAACTTCTAAAACAGAAGTATGTTCCATGAAAGTGACAAATGTTATTACAGAGGAAAAAGCCATTTGGTGTGCCATACAGATTAATAGCCTAATTTAAACAGGGGGAAAAAAGAAGAAAAAAAAAAACAATAAAACTTGACAAATATGGAACACGTGAGTGTGCAGTAAATTACAGAGCTGTATCCTGTGGGAATGTAGAGGTGCCTTGCATGCCCACTCACCATCGGCTCCTCTCGCAGCTGCAGTCTGCGGCTACCATGGATGGTCACACAGAGAGGAAGAAGGCAGTGGTGGGGATTGCTCTCACAGAGCAGGGATACTCTTTCCTTCTCCGAGAATTCCCCCACCAGGGAACGCCCCACGCATCAAGCTGTTTTATGAAGCACAAAGAAAATGTACCAGAAGTACCACTACTGCTAGTCAGACTAGCAATAATCAGAACTCTTAACAGAAATCTAATAGCGGTTTATTTGCGCATCTGACACACCTAAACCTAATACTGATCTACTCGAAGTTATAAATCTAATACTGTAGTATCCACGATGATGCTACGTAAAAGTTCACAGGCAGAAAAATGCTATGTGCTTCTAGGTGCTTTAAAATACAGAAAACTGTATTTACTTACAACAGT